ATGTTCCTTCCGATTCTTTGCCACCGCGAGGTGGACGTCGTGGCGTTCTTTGGATGATACACAAGTCCCTCGGTCTGTTCATGGCGCCAACAGATACAATACAACAATGAAGTTGTTCAGCTACCAATCTATCAAAATCATTGTTTTTCACCACCAACGTAGCCTCAGTGAAACTGTTAGCAACAGTTTGCCTAGTTATGCAGGATTCACCTGGTAGGCGCCGGTGGCGACTGGCCCTGGATCCCTGGCAGCGCATCCTGAGATGACCGTAAAATCGATGTCTGTCCGGCGCCCTGTAGGCGGTCAAATCAGCCCGTCTGGCCGACCTTCGGCCAGGTCGATATGGTTTTCATCTGAGGCTAGCGGAGGGGGCGGGGTGGGTCGGATCCGGCCCACTGGGCGGATATAACGGCCCTGTTCGGCGGCGTTCGATCGGGGCCGTGTGGATCCCAGGTCAACACGTCAGCAGTTGCCGCTGTTCAGGGAGCGGCGGACCGGCCGGCGAATACCGCCTTCATCCGGCAGAGACGTCGACGTTGACGGTGGAAGTCTGCCATGCTGCCGGCAAAGCCCAGGCGGCGACTAGCTTCTACACCCTACACAGCAATCTCTAGTAGTAAACTCTTTTGCAAATCGATGGGATAACCGTACCTTTGCACAACTATCAAAATATTACCCGGTCCTATCAGTGCCAGCTTTTCCGACTACGACAGAAACAACTCCGGATGGACAATTCAACACAAAAGAATATCAGAAAGTTCACAATCCTATTATCCACCGACACGGTCTACCATGGCAGAGGCCATGTCCGTCTCAATTTCAGGAGAATCGCTTTCGGTGAAACTTTCAGGCCCGGCTCAGCATTCCTCCCTTTCCAGCTGCAGGAGGATCAGCCCTAGGAAGGAGGCCGCTGCCTCGACAAGACTCGGACCGGATGTTCGTCCGCTGCTCGCTGGGAGCGGGTCGCGCCACCAGCCTTCAGCCAAGGCCGACACGGGCTGCTAGTCGCGCCGCATTCCTATGGCACTCCCGGTGATAACTTACCCCGGCGCGGAGCGCATACGGGGCTGATTGTAAACACACTGCTGTTTTACAGCACAGTGCTTAGCGGACTGAAGTTAGTGCTGCGCATCTTTGCGCGTCCCATTCGTTGGCGTGTTCTAGCGTGTTGAGTCACCTGCACAATGATTACATACAGCCCGAGCCCCCGCAGCTCTGTGGAGAGCGCATCCGACTGTGCCAGGCACGGGTTCATTCACAGCAGGAACCACGGCGCCCGTGGCGAAGAAACCAGCCCCTGTGGCGCGGGAATCACGTAGTCTGTTGTGCAATACAAATCTTTACTGACCAGTGGAGGCTTCGCAAGCTAGGAACGCGAGGCGGTTACTGACGAAGGATTGTGTGACGCCAGCTGATGTGCGGTTACTGAACGGGTTCCGTGACACCAGCTGGCGTGATGTGGTTGCCGTTGGATCCCGTGCCACCTGACGCACGGTGGTTACCGGTAGATCATTAGACAACACCTTGTAGTGCGGTTTCTGACAATTACCCAGAATAGTGTGACGATAAATAACCATGCACTACCCCAGAAATCAGTCTCAAGCTCTGCGCCTTTGACCACAGCTTTGTCGTAGCTCAGCCGCAGCAGCGGCGGCAGCCAGTCGCTGGTCTCTCTACGATACCTAAGCCGCAGGTGAGACTGGCCGTCGCTCCCGGTCTGCGGCTTTCACTCGTCCGACGGCCGGCCGCACACACGGACGAACAGGTGGTGGGCGTCGCTGCAGCCGCCCGCGCCACGTGCCCGGCCCCCGTCCCGGTGGCAGCTCCACGACAACCCACGTCGGACCGGATCGGGAAGCTTCACAGCTTCTGGCGACGTCCGACGGCGGTCAGCCGACAGGGAATTAACATTCCAGTGAAAACAAGTCTCTCGGTGGATGGAAATATGGCGGTTTCACATGCACCGTGGGTTTATGAATGGCTACATAATGAAACGTTACCCAAGAATATCAACAGCGGAAGCAGAGCGAGCAATGATGCCGGTGACGGGTGAACGAGCCACACTTGCCCCGTTCGGCCGCGCTCAGTCGCTGCCGAAGCTGGTTAAAGCGCCCCATTTCTGTACCCGCTCAGCGCACCCGCCGGGGCGCAGTGGCCCGTTTTTCACGCACTGCCGGCAGCACGAGGCGGGTGGACTCAGCGGCGCGGCGCGCCTCTACCGCACAGCGCACCGCATACAGCCGAGGCTCTGAGCGCCCCACACCACGTCACCCGGATTAGACGGAGCTTCTACTCATCGCGCAAAGCCGAAGCTTTAAATTGCCCCACATCGCGACGCCTGAGTCTGACTGAGTCTCTACTCACCACGAAGCGCCATATCTTCGTCCAGCACAGCTCTCTGCAATCAGTCTTCAGCCCATCCAACACCAGACCACGGCACAGCCTCCCCACTCGGCGCCAAGGCGCCAGTCCCTGTGCGTCTCCCTACGCAGTCACCAGACGCCCAGATACCTCACTATGCGCCCCCACCAGACTGAACTCTGCTCGCCTCTGGCCCTGCCGACTCTGAGAGGAGACGTCTCGTCGCGGAGTCGATCGATGGCGGGCTGCGTGGTCGTCCCGCCGCCCAGATTGATTCCCATACCGACGTCACCGACGCCACGCCAGTGCGCAGCGGGGATTCCGAGAATACGTGAGGTGGGAGATGAGTGGTCTCGGAGCACGCACGCTTCAATCGAGGAAAGTTCCTGTTCAAGAGGTTTTCACACGTGTCAATAGCAGGAGCATCGACCCAGTCAGTCAATTGAAATAATGAAGCAAATGTTGCTCTTATTGCTGCCTTCATGTTGCTCCTTTGTTTCAATAAGCACGGTGTATGATGTGGTCTCACCCTGATTATATAGACAAAATAAGCCACACCGCAGACACAGACGCAGTTTTCTATCAGAGACGCAGTCAGGATCCAGCAGCAAAGGGTCCGATGCCAACACAAAGAATTTTATCATTGACCGTCTGCACTGGAGATCCCACTGGCATCTCACCACACAACGCTACCGTTTGACGTCGTCCGCAGGAGACGGTTGAGAGTCCAGCGGGTGCGGTGAGTGCCCCTCGACCACCCCACGTGGTGACACTGACCCCAAACACGTGGCCAAGGCGCCGCTGCTGAGCTCAGCGGTCAGTCGGCTGTGATTAACGACCCCCAGAGCCCCGCAGGACAGACGGACGTGCCAGACTCCGCACGGCACAGTCATCGACACAGACGCGTGTGGTCGAGATGACTCTTTGACCGTGCCCCTTCTGTGTTGACTGAGGCTTGCCAGAACAGCCGTGAGTGGAGCATGGCCGCTAACCAGGGTGACCTAACCTAACTCAGCCCCGGACAGCAGCGCTAGGCTGATCCAGCACTGGGATCAGGTGACGCATCCGATACGAGCAAACACGGAGGGTTCTCCCGCGCCTAAAACAAACACGTTGGACGCCCCCTGCAGCTGAGACTGACACTTTGCAGTCCTTCTCACGCCTAGGAGTCTGCCATGTGTGACGACCCGCCGTGGGTTTCGGTCACGGGCAAGCTGGGTGCGCAGACAGTACTGCCGGTTTGCACGATCCCAAGCGTCAGGACCTTAAATTTAAAAATTAAAAACGTCCAAATAAAGAATGCATGTCCGGTGGATTCCTGGTGTAGCCATCGTAGCATTCACTTCGCTTTGTCCCTTTATGTTTCACCCCCTGTCCGACAGCAAGCTCCTTAGACACAGGGGTCATCCATAGCTCGTCACCTGCGAGGCGGTCGTATTCAATCGTGAACAGCCTTGAGCCGTCCAGAGGCCGCCAGCGGCGGCAGTACAGGCTACAGGCGCGGCCGACAACCCGTGCAACAGGAAAAACACAGCGCCATGAATCAGACAGACTTCCGCGGCCCAGAACCGGCTCACAACCTACTCAGGAGCCTCCTGGGCCTGGTCCTGAGGAGCCACAAATCGAGTATGTGCCACGCGAGTACGGCGTGCCTAGCACTCAGGGCCAAAATAACGGACCCGACCGGCGCGGCGTCTCGAACCAAGCTGGGCTTGCATTTCGGATCTATGCGCATTACAAGTGTCAGTGATTCGGTACTGGTCGGACAATGGATGGCGGGCGGTCGTCGAAACGGGTAGGCCATACGCTGCTCAACCAAGGACGAACGCCGTGTGCTGACAGCTGAGCAAAACGGAGCAGCGACAGCCACCAGCTGATGTACTGATCACCGATCAGACTGAGCGGTATCAAACCGAGAGTTCCGGCAGATGGTCTGATCTGGATTCACGGTCAGTGTCGAATCAAGGTTACTGACCGGTTAAAGCTCACTTCACATGCGTGCAGAGAAACATGCATCGGCGATCGTCTGTCGTCAGGTGACGAGAGGGACCTGTTCGCGAACTGCGCTTGATATGGTAATGTTATTCGGTGTCATCCTGCCGTTGGACCGACGCTAGTCCGCTCACGCTGGAGCCGCGAGGGCGCTCACTAAAGCTCGGCCCAGAAGTGCCTGAGCGTGATGGTCCGGCCGGCAGAGCTGGTGCGACATGACCCTGAACTCCGACCGACATAACTGGTGCTGCAAACAGACACCGGTCGGCTCAGTGGCACCATTCCACAGCGGCGCGGTCACCAGGCACGGCCACTGGCGGCAGGCGCCGACGGCCAGTGACTCACTGACCCGGGCAGCAGGCTTCGCTGTCAGTCACAGAACTAGGCGAGACGAAACAGACTACAACCGCCTCCCCTAATGATCTGGTCCACTGACAAGCTTCGGGAGGTCAGTGCCCCCTGTCCAGACGTCCTATTCTCCGCACCAACCGGCGCCCCCTTCTCTGTGCCAGCGGCTATGTTGTTCAAACCCCAAACCAGACGCGATTGGGTCGACTGCTGAGCGATACACTGCTTCTCTGGACGATCTACTCGATAGTCTCAGGAATCGTTCCATCCGAGAATCGAGTCCAGCTACACAGACTTACCTCTTTCATGGCCTGGTTCTCCAGTTTCTTGGTGGACAGGTTCAGGTGCCGCTCCAAGCTGGAGCAAAACTTCTGCGTCTGCTTCTCAAACTTCTTCCGGCCCTCCTGTGAGAGTATAGAAGGCGGGGCGTCAGTCACGGAACGCACACCATCGAGCTCACTGAGAATCGATTACCGAGATACAAGGCCTTGGTCACCAAATTGCATACGAGAAACACAGGCATTCGAGTTGAGTGCATTTAGCCAGAATCCTAGCGATGGCACATAAGAATGAGGTAAGCACAAACAAACATTCATGGATGATTTATACACATAGGGCACAGACATGGAGAAGAATGTGAACACAAGTATTGAAAGAAATAGATGTATGCATGTGCACGACCTTCAGTGCACACGGCAGAGCACGCAGTTACAGCCTCATCAGGAATGTAAAACTTGGCAGTGAGTTGACTGTTAAGTAGTCGAATTATAAGGCAGCCTCCTGGAATGGAAATGCATCCAGGCGCAGCCATCAAGATCCTGTCAACTCGTATCATCTCAACTACATATGGGCTGTGAAATACCGTCATTAAATCGGAGGGATGCAAGTGCAGTACTTCAGCCACACCCGTTGTGGCCTCCATTGTAAAAGGGAGCACGATTCTAACGTACTACGATGAGGCACAAGGGCTCGACACACTCCAACGTGTCCCATTCATGTTGCATGCACAATGCACATGCCGTTTGCCCAAGGTTGCACAGCTGCAGACAAGCGGGTCACTCTGGGGCGGGGAGGGTCGCCAATACAGACCAGCCTCTCCGCCGCACAGCCAGTCCGCAGTGGAGCACACAGTCCTCGTTCCCCAGTCCCTGTCCCGTCGCCCGGGGCCCGTCCGACCCTTCAGAGCGCATTCCACGGCGGGCACGGCCGCGGGCTGGGCACACGGGCATACGGAACGGACGTGACCGGGTCCCGGTGGCCGGTGGTCGGCGGCGGCCCGGCCACCCACAGCCTGCCGCCCGGGGCACGGCGCCGCCAGTCTACCAAGGGGCGCCAGTAGGGCACCGCCGCCGGGCTGATGTAGACGCGAGTCGCGCCGTCCTCGTGAGTGCAGACAGCACCGCAGCGGCGCCGCGGTGGCACCGCGCGGTCACTGCACGATAGCGGGCGCAGAGATCTCAGAGCCGTCTGAGTCACTCCAGATAGGGTGGGGCGGGCTGCCGTCAGCAGGCGGACCGCACCCGTCGGATGGCGAAGGGGGAGGGGAAGGTGACACTGCAGGGTGCCAGAGTGACACCGCAGGGCGCCAGAGTGACGCTTCGGGGCACGGCCGCAGATAGACGTTACTCTGATGAGAGCTAGAGATGCGGATAAGTAGCGGCGGATTCAGCGGAGTCCACGGCCAGCAGAAGTTTGGAGCTCTAGTAAATCACGTTAGCACACTAGTCACGTCCTTAATTCCACGAAGAATGTTTTGGTACCTGTGTGAAATTTTATTTCGTACAACAAAAACATTCAGCAGATCATCGAACTGAAGTCAAAAGACCAGTGTGCACCGCCCGTTCCGGGATGACATAATCAAACAGGGCATCCCAGCGGATAGGGGATTGACGGCACAAACTGCGGGTGGCGGCCGCGGGGCTGCACGCGCAATGAGCCACCGTTCGCCAAACGATCTCAGTGATTGAGCGACGCCAGGCCGGTGGTGAGTCGACGGTGGTCGTCCGTCGTCCGTGTATCATCTGCACCCCTGCGCAATCAAGCTGCCAGGGTGAGATGGTGAAGGAGCGGCGGGTCAGTGAAGTCGGTCGACTGTTTGTTTAGTTTGCAGAGGCTGTGAATGTGAGGTCATTCGGCATTCAAGTGAAAAGAAAGTCCCAGGAAGTAATCGGAATCGATGTGGCAACTAATAGTGATAAAGGAGTGTAAGCATGGCCACTATTAGGAAGCTGAGAAAAAAAGCAGCAAAAGGTGATATCACGGAATATATAGTCTACGACACTATATATCGTAGACTATCAGAGGTGGGCATCGCTACCGAAATTTGGAAACCGCTACCGCTACCTTCCGCAACCTTAGGTACCCAAAGCGCAATCGCAACTCCGAAACTATTTTGCAGATCGTAAAACCGCAACTCGCAACTCCGCAACTCCGCAACTCCGCTACCAACCTCTATTAGGTTCTTATGTTTTATCAGTTTTAGTCCTGAAGTGCAGTGTTATGTCTGACAGGTAGTACCTTTGGTTGACCTCTGTTGGTGACCTGACTGTTGGTGACCTCTGATGACGTCACGTGACCTATAATGCTCAATGTGCAAGTCATTGCGACACCAGTCGACGTAAATGACCTGCCAGTGCTACTCTTTGCATGTTTTAGTTGTTTGGGATCATTTTGCCGCAAATCCGGACGAGTTGTATTTTATCCCATTGACTTATAATGGAGAGGTCACACAGTTGACCTTACCTTAAGCCACAAATATAAAAAATATGAGACAATACACTTTGTACCTATATCTTGTTACCCTTGTCACATGCAGACAGTTTCAAAGTGATATCGGTCAATAGGTGTATCTAATTCTATATTGCCCTGTATTGCTAGGGCGGGTGTTTAATTTTTTTCGGAGATTGGGTCCCTTGACTTGACCGGGTGACCTGACCTGAGGTGACCTGGGTCTGACATGTTCATACAATGTGTGGAAAGGATGTGTTAATAGCAGTGTCGAAAACAGCCGCCCTGCCGCCGCCTTTTTTATATATTTGCGGAAAACCTTACGGAGGGGTGTCCAAGCACCCCTCCCCTGCACCCAACCCCGTGCTGGCGACCATAAAATTTGACTTAACCCTCGCTGTGTGCGGTGTTTTACAGCGTCTAACGTGTACGTCGGTTGGACCCCCTCCCCCCTGCCGTTCGGCCCCTGATCGAGCTAGAGCTTCGCGGGAAAAAAACGAGCGTGTTGCCCGTGACGATCGAGGAAGCCGATGATACCCAATTTTAAGGTCATAGGCCATTGGTTGACCTTCCAGGCCAGGTCAATGACCCAAAAGTCGGGAAAATCGGACCTGCTAGAACTTCGTAAAGTGAAGCTTTTATGCTTTTGGGGGGGGGGGGGGGCGCTGATAACAAATTTCATGTTGGTTTTGATCAAAGATGACGTCTTCATGCATTTGGGCCTGGTCGGGTCAGGTCAGGTCAGGTCAACCAGTAGGCGTCCTACCGCCTATCCAGTGTCAACCACCACTGAAAGCCTCGTAACATGTTACTAACGCACTAAAACTACTTCGTAAATGTTCAAACGGTCATTAAATTCGAAATCAGCTTCAACAACTAGCCTGGAAACACGTGCAGTGTGCAGTGGAGTGCAAAGAGTACAGTGGCGCCCCCACCAGCGGTGGCGGCCCCGGTAGCGGTTGCGCTTTAGAATTTTTCGCTTCCGCAACTCGCAACTCCGCAACTTTTTTGGGCTCGGTAGCCGATCCGTAACTCCGCTACCAAGAGGGTAGTCCGCAAGTTGCGGAGTTGCGGAGTTGCGGACTTAAGTTGCGCAATGCCCAGCTCTGGTAGACGACTACATAGTATATATTCCGTGGTGGTATGATACAAGGTGGGATGGTAAGGAGAAGATAGGTGAAAAGCATGGAATTAAGGCGAGATTAGGCCAGGTTATAGGAAGTGAGGTGAGACCAGAGTGGGCGAGGTGCTTTGAGATGAAATCAGGTGATGTTTAGTCAAGTGATGCGGTCACAGGCGAAACAGGTTCGGAGCCGAGACCTGCGGTGTTCTGCTTTCACTTTCACACACTAACGAGCTACAAAACGCCGACCTGAAGAGGCAGAGATCAGCTTCCCGAATACACGGCTCCATTGTGTCGCCTTAGAGATGTCGAGCAATTCTAGAAACCGGGGGCGTTCGGAATACACCTTTCCGGTCTCCAATTTGGCTGCGATTGAGGTGAAAACTACGCGATTCTTAGCTCATATTTAGTATTCACGGAGGAAGACGCATGCACCAGCCGGCGCACCCCAGCGCTAGCCGACGCTGAAGACGTGAGGCATGAACCATAAGTAGACTGGCGAGAAGACCCGAGACACCGACTCAGAGTTAGAGGCGAACTCTCATAGACCGTCACAGATCCACTGCAGCACAATACCCCTCAAGCCCCTAGCGGTGGCCACGGCCAGAGCACGCAGAGACCCGATTCCACTGTAGAAAGTGCTCCTTCTCCGTTCCGTTGAGCTTAGCGCCGTCCCGGTAATTGATCAGTGAGTTTGTGCACCAGCCAATAACGATTTCACCTAATCCCTCCGCTTTTATTCAATTGCGGAAAACGGCTAAGCGACGAGCTGATATGTCCAATACTGTTACTGAAGTTGCACGTTTCTGTAGGGATTAGCGACAGATCTACTGCTGAATCTAAGATAGCATCGGCAATCAAAATCAGCATTTACCTGGGCTTCGTTGGTAGCTGAATGGTGAAAGGTGAACAATGAATGATTTCAAATCATGACTGTGAGAAATGTCAAGGCGCAATTTAAACCCATTCTGTGGTTTATCGATCAGTTCATCAGACAAAACTTTCAAGTTCAGACAACAGATTGCTGAGACAAAACGGCACATAGCGACACCATCTGAGACAGGTTAACGACCGGTCAGTCAACCTGGCCTCGTGAGTGATGCGAGCACGGCGAATTCACACGAGCTCTGCAGACAAGCATATGCGAGACTGGTTGTTCACAGCAAATCAAGAGGGCATCCCCATTTCATCCCAATTATGTGCTCTTGGAAAGTAAGAAAGGACAGAAACACAATAGTAAAATACACATTTCAATGACCACAAACTCCTGCTTAGAAAACTTCCACGCTAAAAAAAACAGTGGCTTCACCGAGACACCGTGTTGCACCAAGTGTTACTGACCTTTGCGGCGCCGATGTGCGTCCTTCGGAATGTGTCCAGTGCTCCGATCACCTGTTTGTGGCCGTGTTCGAGCTGAAAAACAGAGAGGGACGGACGTCAGGGCAAAGACAAGAGAGAAAGAGGCGCATTTCATGGTAGGTGATAGTGCTAAAGGATAGGTCGAGTACAGATGCCGCTGGTGGGACCAGAGGAGCAGTGTTCTAAAATTGGATATTGGTTGGGTGTGCCGATGAAGAAAAAATCTTAGGATGAAAAAAAAAAGAAAGTAATTAACTGCAGTATTTTTGCAAAATGGTGTAATGCCAATTTTTATGCTAATTGATAAACCAGGATTTCATGTCAGGATCTTGACAGGGTGTGGAACAAAAGGATGTGGGTGCATCAACTGTCAAGTGACAAGTGAACTGGCTGTTGGGAATACATGAAACTCTTTTCAGAGATGAAGTAAAGTTGGTCATTCATATTTTAGAGATGAAAATATTTTCCCCATTAGGTGTGATTTGCCACCAAAAAGGCTGAAAAATGAAACACTGCAGAGGAGAGTATTCAAGACAACAACAACAAAAAAAACTACAAGAATAATTACCGGAGTGTTTTAGCCATTCAACGGCGATCCACATAGTTCAGCTCACATAAAGCAGTAGCCAGTAACCATCACTTTAGCTGCATAACTTTCTCAACCCCATGTACCGAGGAACGTGATACTCAGGAAGACGTGATACCCGCGCGATGCGTCCCACGTGCCAGGTGCGGCAACACGTGCCGTGAGGTACCCCACGTGCCCGACGGGTAACCCTATCCACCGGCTGTCCCGACCGACATAACCAGTCTGGCGCAGCCGTCAGGGGTATCATCACTGCAGGCAGAGGCCGTGCGCCGCGCGCCGGGGCCGGGCCGGCGGGCTCTGTCATCTCGACACCGCGAGTTCGGGCACACCAGCACGCGCTGGGCTCGTCTGTTTTTACACTGGCGGCCGCAGACGGCAGCGGTCTCGGCAGCTGCGGTCGGTCCGGCGGGGTTCGGCCGGGTTCGGCGGCCCCGTGGTCCGCACCGTGCGCCGGTCCACCCCCGACGGTCCCGGCGCACATCGGGCCGACCGCAGCCCACCTGTGTGCCGGAACGGCCGTTAGCCCGCGGCGCACTGAGCCCCGCCGGCCGGAGAGGCACACGAGGCGGAACGACCGGCAGCCGCGCCGCCGGCACCGCTGGCGGAACTAAGAAGGAAGGTGCCGGCACGGCTCACCGAAATCGGGCCGCCCAGGTAGTTGGAATAAAACGAAACGGCGCACATGAGCAAACGAACCACGCACGACTCACAAACTAACACTAAAAACCAGGATTGTAAAAATCGCCGAAAAGGCTGCTATTTTTCTTTGTTTATGGCTACGCAACATCCCTGAAGGGAACTAGTCTATGATGACAAGCAGAAGCGAAACCATAAATTACAAAACGTCAGAAGCTACAATCACGACTACAGGCAAAACTCTGGCTGCTGGAACTAACAGCCAAATCGTTGGAAGCATTACAAACAAGCACGGAGGAGTCCCGTGCCTGGATGGAATAAATCACGGGAACCAGAGCTGAACGAGGCGGTAATCCACCCGATCCGGTACCAAGGGACGCGCGCGCGTCGACGGTCGGCTCGGAACCGTCTTCCAAGTGCCGACGGCATCGCAAAAACCGTGTGGACTGTCAGCTTCAGCAGGCTGCGCCAGACGCTTACCACCGAGCATCTCTGATGAATCTCCTGCCAAGCTGTCCACAGACTTAGCCGTCAGACTGTGCCGGACCTTACCGAAACCCAAACTCGGCTGCCAAGGTGTTCCGGGCCATACGCGGCACTGAGCTCACAAAGATAAATTCCTGCTGCCGAACTGTCCCCCTAAGACTCCTGCTTCTGAGTTGCCCCGGATCCGCCACTAAATTACCGCTTACTCACTGAGTTATCCTGGATGGACCTCCGCCGTCGAGCTGTCCCGGATCCAGCCGCCAAGCTGTTCCGTTCGAGCCGCCGATATGTTCAGGATCCGGCCACGGATCTGCCCTGGGTCCAGCCATCGAGCTGTCCCGGATCCAGCGGACGAGCTATCCCAGCCCCTGCCAGCGCCGTCCGAGCAGCACCATCCCAGCCACGGCGGCGCCCAGTTGGTTCCCACGGCTCCCGGCAGGCCGCGGCCACAGCCAGTTTTGAGACACGGAGACCGTGACGGCTCAGAGCCGAGACAGAAGCCAGACAGGTCCTCGGCCCACACAGCGAAAACAAACCACACCGAGCGGAGCTTTCCAACAGATTGGAGTTCACGCCCTGAAAACGGAGCTAAGGAGAAACTGAGGACGTCGGCTGGAGTCGCGGCGTAGTGTCAGCGACCGATATCTCGTGCGTGAGCTGGGCGCAGGCACCGTGATCTGTGATCATTCCACAGATACGATGACGGACGGTCCAGCTGTCTGCCCTGATTGGAGGGGACAGGTGTCCTCACCTACAGCGTAGCTGGCAGGGCACAGGTGGCGCTTGACGGCTTCATGAGGAGGAGGGGGACGGCTACCACTGGTGCTCATGTGTTTTGCGTTGCGGCGGTTTATTGGTGTCATCCCTAAAGCGAAGGGGGACGATAGCATCCCAGCACGATTCGTCGCACTACATTCAACAGCCATAAGAACGAAGACATTTTGCTTTGAACCCTGTCATAGTGATTGAAACCCGCGCTGACCAGCCGCTTTCCCAGCACCTGAGACCCTACCCTACCAATAACCGGTGACGTCGTTGATGACGTCATCGGCTGCGTCCGACTGACACACTGACGGCGCCGTCGGCCGCCGAGATCCCGCTCCTACCTGATAGTTCCCAGCCGCCATTCAGATCTCAGCGAGGTTACCAATCAACGGGCGGCTCGCATGACAACGAGATGGCCAAATTCACACAGCCCACATACACACACGCAATGGTGTACCCAAAAACAGGCCGTGTCCTTATTGATGACTATTAAATCTGGTCAGATCAATCTCTCTTAGATGCCCTTGACCGTCTACCGCGTCGTACCAGCAATTAACATCCCATCACATGGCATATCAGCGACGGTCTTTTGCTACGCTCCCGTGTCACGTTAGCTGATATCACCATACCGCCTTATCATGTGGAGAGCCATTAACTCTCAGCAGGTGTGCTTGACGCGTCACGTTGGCTCATGGCAGGTGCGCATGTAGCGTTGGAGAGAGAGAGAGAGAGAGAGAGAGAGAGAGAGAGAGAGAGAGAGAGAGAGAGAGAGAGAGAGAGAGAGAGAGAGAGAGAGAGAGAGAGAGAGAGAGAGAGAGAGAGACAGAGACAGAGAGACAGAGAGAGAGAGAGAGAGAGAGAGAGAGAGAGAGAGAGAGAGAGAGAGAGAGAGAGAGAGAGAGAGAGAGAGAGAGAGAGAGAGAGACAGAGAGAGAGACAGAGAGAGATAGAGAGACAGAGAGACAGAGAGAGAGAGAGAGACAGAGAGAGAGAGACAGAGAGAGAGAGAGAGACAGAGAGAGAGAGACAGAGATAGAGAGACAGAGAGACAGAGAGAGAGAGAGAGAGAGAGAGAGAGGGAGAGGGAGAGGGAGAGGGAGAGGGAGAGGGAGAGGGAGAGGACGAAGGGAGGGAGAGGGAGAGGGAGAGGGAGAGGGAGAGGGAGAGGGAGAGGGAGAGGGAGAGGGAGAGGGAGAGGGAGAGGGAGAGGGAGAGGGAGAGGGAGAGGGAGAGGGAGAGGAAGAGGAAGAGGAAGAGGAAGAGGAAGAGGAAGAGGGAGAGGGAGAGGGAGAGGCGGAGGAAGAGAGAGAGAGAGAGAGAGAGAGAGAGAGAGAGAGAGAGAGAGAGAGAGAGAGAGAGACGGAACAAGACAGAAGACAAGGAAAAATTATTATCCAAGAAAGAAGAAGAAAGAAAATAACGGGATACCTATAAGCCAGAGACAAAGAAAGACTAAAGCTCGATTTCAATCAAACGCAGCCGTTAGCCTCTTGGGGCTCAGTCCCAAATGACAGCAGGCCACCCCCAGGATCACAGCAAGACACCGTGCCTAGGACCGACCCCAACCCGGTCCTCAGTTCACGGTGTTACATCGGAGGCTGGGTCTGACGAGTGTCCGACCTGTATCTGACAAGCGGAGGGGAGCATCTGTCTGGTAACCGGAGGGGAGGAGCCGGCACGCTCCCTCTGCTGGGGGAAGCGTATCGTATCGCTAGTCGCTACACCTGTCCCAGTCAGACAGGGAACAACGTGTTACTGAGCCTTCGTCTGGTAAGGGCTCCCGCAACAAGCCTGTGATACGCCAACCCTCCACGTCTCTCGAGCAGCTAGCTGTGCGTGAGCCATAACATGACCAGCTTAGTGTTAACTGTTTTTTTTTTCAGCGTTCTTGTGTGTTGGTAGTGTAGTTTCTGAGTGTTCCCTATAACATGTTTTCATTATTTGACCAAGCCATCCCAAGCGTAGTATCGGAATGGATGACCGACGAGCAGACAAACCGCCATACCAAACTCGAACAGCACGGCAGTACCAGGCATTCACCGTAACGATACCGGTCTATAGTCCAGTAATCCGCAAGAGCTTTCGATCTGTAATCCAGTAATCCGCCGAGAGCTTTGTCTATACATACTCGCCATGTAAACAACCATTCCATGTCTCTGGAAATACGCACCGAGTATCTTGCAATGTAAACAAATGACATAAGCACAGCCCAGTACCAACGGAATGCTATCCAGGGCTTAGATCATCGCTGGAAAGCGGCATCGTTGACGAGCGATGCGCCTTGCTTGACGAAAAGCCGCCCCGAACTAGCAACCTCGGACGAAGTCAGACCTGAACCAGCTCCCCTTCTGAGTGTTGCTGGGGCGACCCTCCGCCATCCCCCCCCCTTGTGATGATGACAGCAGAGGTCAGCTCCTTACAGCGGCCACAGTCCATGCCCCAGATGACAATCACTATCCCATTGTCGCACGCCCGGACCACGCGGAAAGAGAGTGGTCCGGGATGGGGAGCGACTCGTGGCGGCGCGGCGACACGCTCTCATAATGGCGTTTGTGACCAGTGCAGCCCCGCGGTGACGAAATAATCAACTCAAAATACGGAAACACGATGCACGACGGGCATTTGATGTATTTTGTGACCGAAAAACGCACGTGCGTATGGCACAACTTGAGAGCACAATAATGAAACGGGATTTTCATATCCGCGTAGAGCCTGCCGATGGTAGTGAACATAGCACACTGTATTTCTTTTTGTATTAGTTTGAATCTAAACGTAATTCGATGCGATTTGCCACGGCTAGGAGGAGAACCGGTCAGAAATATACGCGTTCCCAGGTGTAGTGAAGACCGCAATCGGCTTTTCAAGGAAAAACAGACGCTAGCGTAAAGAAGGCCGGTCGTTACTGCATACCTAAGGGCGTTACATCAGTATTACGGATATCTCTGCACCATGGGAGCGTTAACTCCGGAAGTGCAAGTAGGCGAGTCGAGAGATCAGGGTAATGCTAGCGCATTCTCCAGCTGCTCCTCAATGATACATAAACGAGGACTTCCACTCGAATATCAATCAAATATTACAGATGTATTATTTATATGCAATACACCATGAGACGCTTCTTATTGCGTATTCGGAATTTCACACAAGTATTCGAAATGTTACAAATACTTCCACTGTATTAACATTCGCTTTACTTCACTCGGGCTTATCATATCGGCACAAAACCATCCCGGTATTCACAGCTCGCAGTTCTGTAAACACGCGACGCTTTTCGGGATGCTTTTTAGGTCACGAAACAATATCACGGTGGAAATACACCACTGATTCCACGTCAAAGTGTGCCGCTCTGTGCAATCACCAAGACAAATTCCTCTCTAGCAGTCAGCCTGTCATAAACACACCACTCCAGCTAAGCGGTAACACTGAAGCCTACCAGTGCAAGCGTCAATGCTCGACCGACTCTCGCACCCGAGACCGCCAGCCTATGTAGCAACAGCAACCGATTGACTGTGTGTGTGTGCGTCAGACTCCCATTTGTGCAGTGTTGCACAATGGACTGAGCGAACACGCGCCCGGGGCACGTGTTGCGGACCCTGGCGGGACTCCGCGCGGCGTGATCGAGCAGAGGGTTTCAGGGGCACGGCAGCCACCCCCTCCCCTCCCCCGCCGCTCTCCCCCGTACTGCGTCTGCACTGTGGGTGCTAGTTTATCGCCCGTACACAAAGTTGACGTCTATTCAATGCAACAAGGTTCTGGCCGGTTGGCCTCAGCGGCAAGTGTTTGCGTTCAGCGGCTAACGGAGCTGAAAGATAGGATAAGGAGCCCGACTGGACCGCGCCCTGCGACCCGCTACGAGCGGCAGATCCCCACACAGTCGCGTGATATCCACAAGGGCGGGGCGGGGCACGTGAAGCGACCACGGAGTATTTCAGGGTGAGAACGAAGTCAAAATAACTCCAGTTCAATCATGCATACTGCATAGTTAGTATAAAAAAATACGTGTTTGATTCACTCAACTGGAACAGGCAGACAGGTGATGCACCAGTATCATACAACGCCTTTCAAATTCGTGCTGGCCGTTTCTGTTGCCCTCCACTGAGCCGCCAGTCCCAGAGACAGCGCCCAGTGCCCATCTACTCACCATTCTCTGGCGTTCCTCCTCGATCAGGTTGATGAGCGAGGCGAACTGTTTGAGACTGCCAGCGATGACGATCTCGTCATCTGTCTGTGACCCGCCGATGCAGTCGAACTGGAACTTGTCCAGACTGTTGGCGAACGCCCGCTGACATCGCGACAGCTCTGCGGGACACGAAACGGGGCCGACGGTCACGGGCGTGCCGGTCACGGACGATGGTAGGTGGTCACGGGTCGGCCGGGGGAAGACGGTCACGACTCACGACTCACGGTCAGGCGTGGAGGATGCTCACGGGAGGGATGGGGACGATCACGGGCGGTCGGAGGAAGCCTGATGAGACAGACGGACGGTCTGAAGAGGACAGTTGGCGGGAAGGATGATAGATTCGATACGGCTAGAACTAGATAACGACAGGATGTTATGGTAAAGTCACAAACAAAACTGTTGATGTCAGAATATATGATCGAGTGCCTTACTTCAACGTGATTACGAGAATGCAAGGATGTGGTGGCATCTGGAAGACATCCAACATTTGATGATAAATTTGAGAAACATCGGAAAAACAGCAGCAAGCTTGAAGCCGAACAAAGATTACTTCATCATAACATACCGATGTTAGTAGGGTGACTGTTTTTGCTCGATTTGCTCGATCGACCCACGCTCGATTTAGAAATGTCGAGCCTGCCTCAGTCCCAATATCTGCATGAATAAACAAAGCAGCAGCCCCCGATAAATGAACTTACTGCCCTTATTACTGAGTACTACTCAGTATTCACTATTCAGCTGCTAGCCATATCAGTTTTTGTGGCCTGACCTCCGTAGAGCCCGAGTCCGAATTCAACTTCAGTCCGAGTCCAACTCCAGAGTTCAAACTCGGACAAAACCAAGGAAGAACGTGATGAGCAAATTACGGTGCATTGGTATATAGTAAAACTATAGTAGAATACCACGTTTGAGACAAGTCGATTATAACTTCGCTGGCAACTACATACATCTTACCTATGCATCACCACGAATTCAACGACTTCTGCATGTAATCGTCTAAGCAATGCCAGTAGGCCTGGTTTACATCGCCTCTGTATACACAAGTTTACCCTATCTGGAACTAAGCAGACATTATGAGCCCATTTGGAGCTGGCAATGTCGACCTTCAGCCGCCCTTCGCCGCGGTCCGGATATACACACATGGATGCTTCTGGCGACATCCCGTGAGTGTGTGTCGGTCCGATGACTAACCGCTCATGAGAACGAATCACTGAGCGTATCTCCCGTCCACAGAAGGCCAGTGTGTCCCCATCCGGGTTCAGGGTCTACCACAGGGACCGACTAGGTCACTGGTCGCTGATCAGTGGTCAGCATGTCTCCCTCCAGGCTCAGAGTTCAACACAGTCCCCAATCCCATCCAGGCTCAGGGTTTACCAAAGGCGCCAACTGAGCAGTAACTGATCCGAGACGCTGACCGAACAGGACCGGAGACGGGACGGAGCTCCGTCACTGACACCGTGAGTGGACGGTGTCGCACGCGCCATCCGGAAACCCTGAGTCACTGGGCCGGCCGCCGGCTGTGCACAGCCGGTGCACAGTTGGTGCACGCCTTGTGCACGACCATTGCACGGCCTGGCGAGCGTCGCGCTCAATCGCCGTCCAGCTAAGGACTTCCGCCGCGTCGTTCCCGGCAGCGTGTGCCGTCTCTGCATCAGTCCAGTCCTGTCCAGTTTCGTTCCTCCTCTATCCCATACGATCCGTGCCTCCTCCGTCCCTTCCATTCTGCTCTCCTCCATCCCTTCCATTCCGTTCCTCTCCCATCCCTTCCGTTCCACCACAATCCATCCCTTACAGTTCCGCCTTGCTCGATCTCTTCTACTTCCCCTTCAACCAATCCCTTCTCATTCCGCCTCAGCCCCAACCTCCTGGAGCCCACCCCCATCCCCAGGCAACGCATTACAGTTCCATCTTCCAGTTATATCCTGACTCGTTTCCTTCCTCCCTATCTGTCTTGGACGTTGCGGAAGGGAAGTAGGTACGTCACCGTTCGCCGGGTTCCGCATCCCACTGGTTTTGACGCGGAGGTCATCGTCCGACCGCTGGGCCAGACATGCTGGCCAGGCAGCAGCCAGGCTGACTAGCCTAATGCAGCAGTTGGCAGCCAAACTATGAGTCCCGTGGACTATTCAGAGGATACCTAGTTTAGGATTCTATTGATGCTGAAGAAGAGAAACTAAAACCATGAGTTCAGTGAATCAACTATAGAATAGCAAAACAATGCACAAAAATACAATGGTTCAGCCACTGAAAAAGACCTGATAACTAGATAACTTTTGTAATAGCTTCCTTGATGTAATTATTTCATTCAGGAAAAATGTAAAGTGAAATCAACCTAAGCATTAGAGTTCCCTCATCTCAATCTGATTGGACTTAGAAGACGATTATATAGCATGGCCATGTATAAAATAAACTTCGTGTCTTTGTGTAGACTGTAGTGAAACCAGACAGTTTGCTTTGAGACTGCAGCAGAATACATCAACATTGTGATTGGGTACTAGATACTGATTCTGGTTACCAGCTACTGATGAAAACATGAAATGTTTTAAGCCATATTTGTGCTTAATCATCATCATTAGGGCAAACTACAGCACGCATCAACACCAAAATAGGAATAGGTATTTCTTGAAACAATGGATATTGCATTGATATTTACCATTGAACCAAGCATCAAGCAACATCTCTCATTATTGTGACGGGTCCGATACACCAGCAGACGCCTTTTCAGTTTATTAATTCTTCAGGAAGTAGGCCTGCGAACACACGCACACAACAAGCAAAACCGTTAGCAACTCCAAGCAACTCCATGCACATTGCACGCTGCATAGCAGGTCATGCGGCAGCCACCACGGAACACAACCATGCACAACATGCAACACACACACAACAACATGCAACACACACACAACAACACAACATGCCGTCGCGAGCAGACGAGGACGCAACATGCCGTCGCGAGCAGACGAGGACACCAAACCCAATAAACCAAATATGTACATGCCCTGATCCAGCACGTCACATTCCTCCCCTCACAAATCCAGCCTATCGGGGGCCCTCCTTGTCCTTGTACTTCGCCGCCTGAGTCCCAACTGTTGCTCTGTGCGCGTTGCGCACCCCACCGGCTCGCTATCCAACAATGGAGGATTATCCAACGGGCCAGGGGTCACCTCCGAGCTCGCTGCCTGTCCTGATTCGAAGTCGGCACCGCTGTTTCCATCTTCCCGACGTGAAACCTCCTCTTCGGCCCTGCCATGTGAATCTTCCGCAGAAACAGCTTCTGACTCGTCTTCGCTGTCGGGTTGTTGAAATTCTCCTTCATTCGGCGTCTGATCCTGCCGGTCCCTCTGATACACATCATCTCTATCCCTCCGGTCATGATGGTTAACATCGACTTCAGGCCTGTCAGCATGTCTTTCATCATCTCGACTGTGGCAGGGTTTCAGCCTGTCATGGTGAACCACCTGCCGGTACCTGTGCTTGTCTACATGCTTGATTCTGTAAGTCAAGCCATCCTGCAGAACGGCTACCACTTGGTACGGCCCATGCCACGGTCTTTGAAGCTTCGGTGAGCGGCCCGGGTATCTAACTGGTTTGAACAGCCAAACCCAATCCCCAACCTTGTAAAAGAATTGCCGCACACCGCTTGATTGCCGCTCTCTTCGTTTCTGCGCTTCTTTCGCGATGTTCTCACGTGCCCTGCTTTGTGCTCGAGACCAAGCTTGCGTCACTTTCTGAGCGTAACTCTCCCTGTCATTGCCGGCTCCTGGAGAGCCTCCACCGCACGCAACATCCACCGGCAGTCGTGGTTGTCGACCATAGAAGAGGTAGAACGGCGTCTCTTTTGTAGTTTCATTCGCGCTTGTTCGGTATGCCATCATCACGAACGGCAGCTTGTCGTCCCAGTCTCGCTGATCTTGTGAAACATACATGGACAGCATTGTGCACAACGTGTGGTTGAAACGCTCAGTTTGTCCGTTTCCTTGCGCGTGATACGGCGTCGTCCTCGACTTTTTTATATGCAGACGCTGGCAGATCTCCTGGATCAGCGATGCTTCGAAATTTCTTCCCTGGTCCGAATGAATGACCTCCGGGCAGCCATGGCGACAAATCAACTCCTCCACCAAGATCTTGGCCACCGTGTCCGTCCGCTGGTCAGCCAGTGCAAAAGCCTCTGTCCACTTGGAAAACCCGCACGTCACGACAAGGATGAAACGATTTCCTCGATTAGTCCGCGGGAAGGGACCCGCGATGTCCATGGAAATCCACTGCCACGGTCTCACTGGTTTTGGCATTTCACCGAAAGGCGCCCTCCCAGGAGCAGGAAGACTCTTCTTCATCGCACAAAGACGGCACGTCCGAATCCACGTTCTCACATCCTTGAACATTGTACTCCAATAGAACCTCTCTCTGATCTTTTCCACTGTTTTTGTGACTCCGAGGTGACCCGAGGCGGGATCGTCATGACACATCGCGAGGACCTCCTCAGTTAGAGATCGGGGAACAACCACTTGCAAGTGTTCCGTCGCGTGGCGCTTGTACACGCATACCAGCCGGCCCTGTCCGTCGACCTTCAGTCTGTTTCGCTGCGACATGTAGTGCTTCACCGCCGAAGATGCATCAGAGGGACATCTCTTCCCCGTTCTCACCAGCTCCATGACTACTGCTATGTCCCGATCATCACGTTGGGCCAGCGCCATCCCGTAGTCATCATCCAACGTCACTGCAAATACCGGAGCATTGACCTCGCTGTCTGTCCCTTCCACTGGGCCACGCGAGAGAGCGTCCGCGTGTGGAAGTGTCGGCCCCGGCCTGTACTGGAGGTCGTAGTCGAGCGCCTCCAATTCAAGTATCCAGCGAGCAAGCTTGCCTCGTGGATCCTTACTTTTGCGGAGATGCACCAAGGGGTTGTGGTCCGTCCGCAAAACAAATCGGCGTCCATGCAGGTACACACGAAATCGTCGAGTGGCCCACACAAGGCCAAGGCACTCCCGTTCGGTCGCCGAGAACTTCCTTTCAGTTTTCGAGAGGCTGCGACTGGCGTACGCCACCACTCGCTCCTGGCCTCCTTCTTCCTGCGTCAGTACCGCTCCAATCCCTACTTCACTGGCGTCCGTGGTCAAGATAAAAGGAGCGTTGAAGTTCGGGTAGCACAGCACAGGTGCAGATGTCAGCTTCTCCTTGAGCTGTCGGAACGCAGCGTCGCATTCCTCCGTCCAGACGAATCGTGCACATCCCTCTAGAAGCCGGTGTAGAGGTTTCGCCACGTCTGCGAACTGCGGAATGAAGCGTCGGAAGTACGAGGCAAGTCCAAGGAATTCTCTTGTCTCCTTGACTGAAGAAGGCGTCGGGAAGTGTTTTACGGCCGAAACCTTCGCGGGGTCAGGCGAAACACCTTCTCCACTGACGACATGACCCAGAAACTGAACTTTCTTTCGAAAGAGCCGACACTTTTCAGGGTTCAATGTCAGGTTGGCAGAACGAAGGGCCTGTAGGACGTCCTCGAGTCTCTGCAATGATTCGCCGAAGCTGCCTCCGAACACGATTATATCATCAAGATATACCAGGCAGATGTTCCATACCATTCCCGTCAACGCCACCATCATCAGCCGCTGGAAGGAAGCTGGTGCTCCCTTGAGGCCCATTGAAGTGACATTGAATTCGAAGAGGCCCTTGTGAGTGGTAAATGCTGTCTTGTGTTTGTCCCGTTCCTCTACTTCTTGCTGCCAATACCCACTTTTGAGGTCCAGTACGTGAAACCACTGGGCCCCAGAGAGGGCGTCCAAGCAGTCATCAATCCTTGGCAGAGGAAAAGCATCGCTGATTGTGTCTGCGTTCAACCGACGATAGTCAATGCAGAACCGAATGGATCCGTCCTTTTTCTCAACCGGAACCACTCGTGCCGCGTACGGAGACGTACTCGGCCTGATGACGTCTTTGCTCAACATGTCCTCTACCATGTCGTCCAGCCGCTGACGGGTGTGGTGGTCCACTCTCGTTGGTTGCGCTGCTCTTGGAGGCGTACCCTCTGTCCGAATTTCATGCTTCACAATTCCAGACCGTCCGAGACGTCCATCCGCTGGGAATCTGTCTTGGTAGTCGTGAAGTAGCTTCTTAGCCTGACACTGCTCTTCTCGTGACGTCAGATCAGAGTCAGTGACCAGCCTCTCAACAAGCGTCTCCATTTTCCGTTTCACTTCTTCCGACTTTTTTCCGACTGATTCCCGAACACTCCTGACGTTCTGAGCCAGGGACTCATGAACTCGCGCGACACGTTCGACGTGCCCCAGCGTGGTCCCCTGGTGCAGCTTGACAGGTCCCTCTCCCGGATTCACGAGCCGAACAGCGATCTCCTGCCCTTCTCGCATCACGTCCAGTACCCGGGCTCCCACTACATCGTTGGCTTCTTCAAACGTAGGGTCTGGGCTATACATGACCTCTTCCTGGACGGGAATAGCAGCTTCTACGACTCCCCTTACAACAATCTCATGCCGCCCAGGCAGAACGACCTCGCGAGTCAGTCTCACTCGTGCACATCGCGGTTCTGCTTCTCCTTGGGAGGGGGTCGGAGATGAACATGTTACATCTTGACTTCCTATGGTTACTCTGCCCGACGTCCAGTCAATGGTAACAGTTGCTCCCAAGCGTCTCATCGCATCGGTCCCGATCAAACATTGCGTGTTCATAGACGGCACCACATAAACAGGGTGTTGCAGGAGAACTGAAGAACCAATACATATATCTGCCAGTACTCGGGCCTCACAGGACAAGGGCTTACCGTCTATCGTCACTGGCTGCTGCTGCGAAAGACAACGCCGCAGCTCACGTACACCGGGAACACTCGACCCAACCAGCGTGCATTCCGCTCCCGTGTCCAGCAACCATACTACCGATTCGTTCTGCACAGAGCCCCTGACATACACAGCCCGACCACTTGGAGTAACATAGGACGTCGTGCCCACCAACAAACTGTCGGGAGAAGACTGGTGGTGGGCACCTAAAAATCCAACTTAACACGACACCCACGCGCTATGTGCCCCATCTGACCACACCGATAACATTGAAAAACGGCTCCTTCCTCCCCACCTGCAGAGTTAACAGGACACTCACGCGCCATATGTCCCACTTCACCACAGCGATAGCATTGAGCACCAGATCCCCTTCCACCACCGCCGCGATTTGCACCTGGGCCACGAGCAGCACCTCCATAGCTGCCACGACCGACGCGTTCCCCGTGTCCACCGAAGCCACCTCCACCACCACGAGGGCGAAAACTCCCACGGCCAGGGAGGGTCAGCCGCCCGACATGTGCTTGAAGATCCGCCATAGACGCCGCCACCGCGGACACCTGGTCTCGAAGCTCCGCGACCTGAGCATCAACAGACGGAGTGGTCTCCACCCGTCCCACTGAGGCCTGCCGACGGGAGAGCTGAACTTGCTCAATCCGGCGTGCGCTGCGTTCTAGATCTGCAAGGGAACCCCGTTCTTGCTCGGGTGCCTGAAGCATCAATGCCATACGCAAGTCATCATCTAGCCCATTGATGAAGGTGGCTCGCACTACGCCCTCTCGCGGTACCACATCCCAGTCCGGATACGCTCGCTCAGCAAGCTCCTCCAACTCGTGCATGAAATCTGCTGTGCTTTGTCCAGATTTCCTTCGAGCAGAACTGAGCTGCAGCGCATAGTCACTCTGGAGTCCTGGAGAATCATATTCATCCATGAGCGCCTTGTACAACTTGTCATATCTACTCTTTTGCTCTGCAGGGAGGTGCATAAAAAAGTCATATGCTTTACCAGCCAAGGAAACAGACAACTGTGCCAGCTTCGTAGCATCATCTCTCCATTCATTGATGCCTGCACATTGTTCAAATTTATGAAGAAACCGACGCACACTGCCACTGCCATCAAAATCAGCTGGTCGCACCGCCTTGCTGCCGCCAGGTGCCATCGCATACGCCTTTATCTCTTCCTGAAGAAAATCACTGTCCGTTTCAGGCTTGATCATGAGCTTTGTTGCCACCAGCGCCTGCTGTCGCCACCGCTGCCACCAGTGTGACGGGTCCGATACACCAGCAGACGCCTTTTCAGTTTATTAATTCTTCAGGAAGTAGGCCTGCGAACACACGCACACAACAAGCAAAACCGTTAGCAACTCCAAGCAACTCCATGCACATTGCACGCTGCATAGCAGGTCATGCGGCAGCCACCACGGAACACAACCATGCACAACATGCAACACACACACAACAACATGCAACACACACACAACAACACAACATGCCGTCGCGAGCAGACGAGGACGCAACATGCCGTCGCGAGCAGACGAGGACACCAAACCCAATAAACCAAATATGTACATGCCCTGATCCAGCACGTCACATTATCATCAAGTCAATTCCATACATCCTGTGCTATGACAATTCTGCAGCATAGCTTGGCAGGATGTAATCACTGCCTTGGCATTATTGCTTTACTTAACATTCATGATGGTGAGCTTGATAATACATACTGGTGATAGTTTTTAGTTTTAAGGGACACAGGCTATTTTAGTCAACTGCACCCGGAAGCTTAGCATGTATGAAGTTAAAACCAAAACAGGGGAAGTGAAGGTATGAGTACTCACGTTTTGCGGCATCAAGAACTTCTTTGATGTCCTTCACCAGAGATTTAATTGATGCACTGGTGTTTTCAAGCTCCTTTTCATAAGCATGCAGATTTTGCCGGAAGTAGGGGCTGTCTGTCAAGCAGTCAGCCAGCTCCAAGGGAAGCAAGCACTGACGACCCATTTTGTCGAGTCTTCAGAAACTGTTTATTTTCTGTCAAAGCCACGAGCCACACGCACACCTGTTGCACTAACTGCAATGTTTGAATCAGGTGCAGTTCAGTTCACCCTCAACTGAAGAAACCTCTTCAACTCTGACTCAACCAACCAGCTAGCTTTCTCGAATCAATCAAGGCCCAAATCCATGTTGATATTTATAAAGGTAGGAGCACTACCATTTCAATTAGAAGCGCTCCCAAGTATATAAATATACGCTGGATTGTTTCTGTCCAGTCTAGATGGTTCAACACAAAGGCACACCCTGTCACACGAGCCCCGCCGGGGCACCCCACACCTTCAAACGCACTCTCAAAACTGACTTTGATTGACATCATTTTCGCCGGAGGCGCAGCACAACAATCATAACTGTCGCAACTATTTCCTACCATATTAAAGGAATTCCTTTACCTTTACACAATACCGAAACATCATTATCTGATGATTTGTGCGTTGATACAATATGGCTAAGTCACTCAATAGTTGAATTTATTTTTCAAATTAATTTTCGTATATTTCTTGAAATATCAAGGTAATGGGCCATGAGGTCTCTACCCTCTTCGCTGAAAAGAAAAAAGAATAAAGGTAAGAGCAGGTAAAGGGAAAACTCCAATATTGCTACCATATTTTAGGAAACTACTAGCAAATACAAATAGTTCTACTATATGTAAAATAAATCCGTGATATACAGACATATCTATGGTTATTAGCACCAAAATGGAATTGCTATCATCTTAGATGATTTTAAAATCAACGTAATAGTTCTGCTTGATAACGGTTTAATATCTAAATCATTATATCTAAAGAAGGCTAGCAAAAAACTGTCCCGAATCGCATTCCCTGGGGTGATCGTAAAGGTTGAAATAGACTCCGTCCGCATTCAGGAAATCGCGATTGATGCGGGCAGAATTATAAGGTATATGTATTTTAAAAGGCTCATTGGCGGATCCAGTTGGACGTTTTTTGGGGGCGCAAGTGGCCGAAAAATGGCCCCTTCGTTTCCATGCACCGCCAAAGGCGTATTGTTAGCCCTCACCCGTATACAGGGCCGGAGAAACCGGGGGGGACCGAGGGGGACCGTCCCCCCCGGGCCCCATTAATTCCATTCCCTGGGGGGGACCTGGGGGGGACCTAATATATAACGAAAGTGGGCCCTTCTGACTTATGTTTAAAAAAGTAATCAGCCATTTTGGCCTGTATTAGTGTTTTAAATCTCCCATTCCAAGCATCGGAGCCCTATATCAGTGAGTAGATCTCAACGAGTCGTAGTCCACCACAAGCTAGTGGGCCCTTAATGGTTCCGTGGTGACCGTGAACCATCAGAGAGCCATGGGCCCTCATTGAGTCCATGTGGTCCAGGTCCAGTAGTGGACCTGTTGAAAATTTGACAGGTGTTTGCTAGACATACTTTCCTTTCACATACCTCCTATGTACAGCAACGCATGAATAATTCAGTGGCGGATCCTGGGGGGGGGGGGGGGGGGCACGGGGTCATGACCCCCAAATGGTCTGAGAGGGTCAGTTGACCCCCCTCCAAAAGCCGAATACCTAAATGCGTTATAGACGCCGTCTTGCATGCTCAAAATCACCTATCAAACACATCTGAGCTAATACCTTTGTTTTTGTCTGGATCGTGTTGCGTGAAAAGGCGTATTGAAGGCCAGAATCTCACTCGTTTTTGTCTCAACCGTGCGAGCACCAGGGGATGATACAGGAAAACTCCAAGGGGATGGTCATGAATTTAATTTATGGTGCCCCTACCTATACCCAAAATTAAAAACTCAACGGATTTCGGCCACTTAATTTTGGTGATGCGGTGTTTCCATCTTTGTTTTTTATATTGTTTATTTTATTTTTAGTGCCCCTGGGCCCTGGCAGGCCTGTGGTGCCCCTGGCCGGACTGTGGTAGCCCTGGCGGGCCTGTGGTGCCCCTGCTAGGTCGCTGGGGCCCCTGGGCCCTGACAGGACTGTGGTGCCCCTGTCAGCCCAAGGTGCCCCTGCGAGACCGGTGGTGCCCCTGGCAGGCCTATGGTGACCCCTGAGGTGCCTTCAAAAGAGGACGTGGGGCCATCAGAAGCGGCTAAATGACCGTCGGCATTGGGCCTTAATTAAGGGAACTGCATGGGCCTCTGCTGTGACCCAAAATAAGGATCTCGAATGTCAAAATGGGACCTTCAGAGACAGGTAGGGTGTCAGGGACCCTCATTTCACCGGTATGAGGCGGTAGGTACCCAAAAAGCAGTCGGAGTCCCTCAGATGCCGGAATACTTATGCATTACTTACGCGGCATGCTTACCTTCTTACATTTTGCGCCCTCGGAGGCCAGCGCGGGATCCTCATAGGTCGATGTGAGCCCTCTGAAGCCGGTGAGAAACCTCAAAGGCCATCATAAGACCATCGGGCCACTGGACAGTATGAGACTCAAGAGGCAATTTGGACCTTCGGAGACCGGCGTGGGCCCCAGGGACGTACCCAAGGGGGGACGGGGCGCCCCCCATTGGGGTTTCAGGAGGCCCCCGTGGGCGCCGAAGGCCCACGGGGGCCAAAATCACGTCGGAGGCGTAAGAAATTCACGGGAATCCAAAAAATCACGTCAGGACATTCAGGGCCCTCTGACCAGCCTGACAGCTAGGGTCCTTCTTACTTCCTGAGGCCTCCTTCTCCTTCCTTCTTACTTCCTGAATAACCGCCCGCTAGTGCCTGTGTCTGACCGCTAGGGCCCCTCTGACTCCTCAGTAGAGAGGAGGCCCTCAGTAGGTAGGAGGCCCTCTGTAGAGAGGAGGCCCCCCGTAGAGAGGAGAAGGCTCTATGTAGAGAGGAGGCCCTGTATAGAGAGGAGGCCCTCTGTGGAAAGGAGACCGCCTGAAAGCAGAAGGCCCTCTGAAGAGAGGAGACCCGCTGTAGAGAGGAGGCCCTCTGTAGAGAGGAGGACTCGCGCCTCAGTGGAGAGGAGGCCCTCTGAAGAGAGGAGGCCCTTTGCAGAGATGAGGTCCTCTGTAGAGAGGAGGTTCTTTGAAGAGAGGAGGCCCTCTGTAAAGGAGGCCCTCTGAAAGGGAGAAACCCTCGGTAGAGAGGAAGACCTCTGTAGAGAGGAGGCCTTCTGTAGTTAAGAGGCCTTGCGAAAAGAGGAGGCCCGCAGTAGAGAGGTGGTCCTCTGTAGAGAGGAGGCCGCCCCCCTCTGTGTTTTGACAAATCTTTTTGCAAATTTTTCGCGGCGCTTCGCGCCGCCGATTCATGTACCTACGTACAGGTCAATACGAAATCATGACTGTAATTACACCAATCAACCGTACAAATTGAATTAGAACTCATATGTGTAACTGTGAAGGAACTCCGGTTTGTACTGCCATGCTCAAAGGGTGGTAAAAATTGTGTTTTGCAGCTGTGTTTTGACAAATGCTTTTGCAATTTTTTTCGTCGCCATACACCAATCAATCAGAGAGATCGTGACTGTAATAACATCAACCGTGTCAAATTGAATCGGAATTCATATGTGTACTGTGAAGGAACTCCGGCTTGTACTAGCATGCTATAAGGGTTGTAATGTTTGTGTTTTAGAGCTGTGTTTTTACTTTTTTTTGCAAATTTTTGCGGCGCTTCGCGCCGCCGATTCATAAACAGGTCAATAAGAGAGATCATGACTATATGCTACTATTGCATTAGGCTAAAAGTGAGGTAACTATATCTACTTCTGGGTTTTTAAGTACGTCGATCCCCCCCCCCCCAGTAAAAAATCCGTAGCGACGCCCCTGTATAGGTGGGTTTCACTAACTGAAACTACTGAGCCGAGTGACTAATAACGATATAACTTCATCTTAGAAACGACGAAGATCAAATGTCATTTGATCTCGACATAGGGGAGAGTGGTGCAGGAGGCCCCCCCTTAAGCTCAGTTACTATTTTTAGACAACTGATAATATTTAAGCGCTAACGTGTGCATGCGCTGTGAGCATGCATCATTTTCCCATACATATTTGCATTCAAAATGAATCTAGGGGGTACACAAACCGTAAACTTTAACATTTTGGAAAAAGTTGCAAAAGGGCCTCTTACACTATGGGTATGGTAAGACGCCCCCCCCCCTCCGGCGTTTTAAAAGTCAAGTCGACTTGTAAAAGACGCTTTGCGAACACAGCTGCAAGGCCTTTTATTTCGAAAAGCTAAGCAAATACGGTGTTATCGAAACCAATAACACTTCCAAAGCGCTTGAACAATGCGAAAACTAGCACAACCAAACGCTGATGACCAACGAAAATTGTACCTATAACCTCTAAGAAAAGAAACAGAAAAAAAGAAACAAAAACAAACTCCTTGAAAAAAGAATGCCACGCCTGCCGCAGGTGCAGGCGTTTTAGCATCGGGGGCGTTTTTTATCGGGGGGCGTTTTATCATCCTCGAAGGGAGGGCCTCTTAAAAAAATACAGTGTTTTAACGTCCACAATATTTATGGTTTATGAGACATTTGCAGCGCACCAGAACATGGTCTATTCTGAAGCTAACATGTAACAATTTCGATGAGAAAAGATTGCATTTGATAGCCATTGTTTTTTCAGATATATAAGGGTGATAAAGATGCATATATCTAGCAAGTAAAGGGGCAAAAACAGAAACAGGCTTACCAAAAGTCGCTGCGACGCACCTGATACCTCAGGTTTCGTGAGTTGTTGTTTCAAGAGGGCTTCTGCTTTACAAGAACATTAAAAAATAAATAACATTATTGGTTTGGTAAAAAAAGCGATGGGGCCTCTTACCGACCCTGGGCGTCTTACACGGATCTCCCCTACTCGCTCCCTACCCCCCCCCCCCGGTCGTCAGAATTCATCCATCAGACCCGGCATGTCGGCCGACTTGTGACCCCCTCCCAAACGTTTCCCTAGATCCGCCCTTGGAAGGTAATATGATTTTGGGCCCTTTGAGACACTTGGGGCCCTTTTCCTTGAGGGCCCCTCGAGGCCTAGTCCCCCCCACCTCTGAAATCATTTCTCCAGCCCTGCCCGTATATTGGTGTTTTGCCAGCCGTGAACGTTTAAAGGGGGGTCCGTTGGACCCCCTTGGCCTCCCCCTTGTCGTTTCGCCCCTGATCGAGCTATAACTTCGTGGAAAAAACGAGCGTGCTGCCCGTGACGAGAGGAGGCCGATGATAACCAACTTTTATGAAGGTCTTAGGCCATGGTTGATCTTTTAGGTCAGGTCAATGACCCAAAAGTCGGGAAAATCGGGTCTGTTAGAGCGCCGTTAAGTGTGACTGTTATTCACGTATACGGTCTGTTATGGGGTTTTCGGGATGCTTATCATGAATATCAT